TGAAACATGTCCATTCTCACAAACATAGGCTCGCACAACCTGCTCACCGTCTTCATGGAACCCGAAATACCTTCTCAAGCAGAACGCAGAATGCAAGTCCCAAGTCTGTTTGGCATTGCAGAATGCGCAACTCAGATCTGTCTGTTTCTTGTTCCCGTCATTAATTGTCCTCCAAACCCTAGACTGCTTGAAATCCTTGAATATTCCTCGGAATATCATGTAGTTCCTCTTCTCCTCGATATGAATGCAACCTGGCCAATCGGAGATGTACAGGCGATCCTCTCTGAATCTACTCGCGAGGAGCTTAATCCCGTGCTCACGGCTCAAATTCCAGGCCCCGGATGCCATATGAGAACAACTAGATCTGACAGATCTGACTGTTTTTATTCTCTTAGATCTGAGGATTTGGATTGAATTTTCCGTCGTGGGAGACGGAGGTCTTTTGGTAGAATGGTCCCGCACCTGGTTTGATGATGATCCGGAAGCATCGCAGAGAGTATCAAACATCAGATCGTCAAACAAAGACCAGCCACAATCAGGTTGTTCAGAACCGACGCCGTCGCTCTTGACGATAGAGAGAGTCTTCTCAGAGGCGGCGGTGGCTGGGAAATCCTCATCCGGACCGAGATCGCGTTCGAGGCCGAAATCGGAATTTGCTAAGAGCACTCCGGCGTGGAGGAGGCCAGGGCAACAGAAAGCTAGCTTGTAGAGAGAAAGCCAACCGCCAGGAGGAGCCGCGGAGGAGGCGGAGACGAGATCGGAAACGACGGAGGAAATCGTCTGTGAGCACTTGGATTTGCAGCAAAGGTTACGGATGAGGGAAGAGAATTTGGTTGAGACACAGGAGAGTCGTGCCCAGTTGCGCGGGTCTCCATCGAGCCTGTAGAAAATGTTGAGAACGATGTCGTCGGAGAGCTCAGAGAAGGCATTCTCATTTTCAGCCATGGCGGCCTCTCCTACTAATCTCGCCCAAAAGGATCGCAGTGGCATTTTAGCGGTCAATGGGCAGGGCCAAATCAATCCGCTGTCGTCCAACAGGGGTTTGGTTGAATTGATGGATAACTAATCCAACCAAACCATACCAAATTTAACCCCTCACAAGTCACAAGTAGGAGTAGGTAGGTTTTTACTCGGTTTTCAGTCCAGATCAGATTTGATCAAATCAGACTTGAACAGTTATAAAATAACATAGATCGGACATTTATCAGACTAGATAAAACCAATTCGGACCAGATAGATCAACCAGACTAAACTAGACCAGAAAATTTCAATCCAAATGAAAACAACCTAGGAGGGTATATGTGGGGTTCGGAACTATTTTCAGTCCCTAACTAGATCAAACTAGATCAAATCACGAAAGATTATATTAAGACTAGATCAGACTTGGACAATTATAAAATACACAGATACCAAACATCTTTCAGACCAGACCAGTTCTAATCAGTACAGATCAGATAAGAAAATTTCAGTTCAATTAAAAGCATCCTTATACTAAACTTAATGTGTGAAATTTAAAAAATGGAATATTTTTCCCCAGCTATTTTATGTTATGAGTCGGGTTTGAGATATATTACCACCCGTCTTAGGATGTTTTCTTTTGGACTGAAATTTGCTGGTCTGGTCTGGTCTGGTCTGTTTAAGTCTGGTCTGGTCTGGTCTGGTCTGGTAAACGTCCGGTCTCTGTGTATTTTATAACTACGGAAGTCTGGTCTGATCTGTTTAAGTCTGGTCTAGTCTGGTCTGTTTAGGTCTGGTCTGGTCTGGGACTGAAAGCAGTCCAAAAGAAAACATCCTTAATCTCCATATACTTAGAGTTAAAGGAACTACATATGAGAGACAAGAACTCTCTCTCCTAATATTGAGGTCTGCTACATAATTTTACTCTTAAAATAGAAATAAAGATCTATATATCACTAATAGACTTTTAGTTGACAAAAATATGACAATATTTTAAATGGACAAAAAAGTGACTAAACATAGAATTAAATGTGCAGTCCATATATTCCAACATGATCTAATGTGTCTTCTTCATAAATCCCTAATGCAATCAATGGTCTTCTTAGGCCAGGCTATGCGACAAACATAAGTGACGAGCGGCAATGGTGACGTCTAACCCTGTGAGGCGAACATCAACGATTATTAGCAGACGAGAGGCGGTGGCGACCAATTCATTGTGGCGAACATTAGAGGCAGTGTCTCCTTCTCCTTCTTCCTGTTTTTTCATCATTACTGCCCATCCGCTCCATCTCGATGTTGGACTTCCGGATGGACAAAGAGTACAAGCTACTAAACAAGGATCAGTTCGTTTGTCTAATTCCATATGTCTGACTAATGTGTTATTTGTCCCAAAATTAAATTGTACCCTCATCTCTGTTTCTTAGCTTACTGAAGAGCTCAACTGCTTTATTCAATTCACTTTTAACATTTGTGCTATTCAAGACCGGAGGAGGTTGATTGGAGCGGGTGAGAGGCGGAATTGACTTTACTATTTTCAAGACATCTCATGAACACATATTTTTGGGATGCGTAAGGAGGAGGATCATATGGACACTCGACATTGACGGTTAGGGCAGCCATCTGAATCAATAATGAAATGGTTACCTGGTTTGAGTAATCCCAAAAATATTATTTCTCAACCGTGTGACATTTGTTTTCGAGCTAAACATCCCAGAGAGTCTTCTCCTGTTAGTACCAACAAATCTACTCATATGTTTGAACTTATACATTGTGATTTGTGGGGGGCTTACAACACCCCGTCTTCCTGTGGTGCTAAATATTTTTTAACTATTGTGATGATTTTTGTTGTACTGTTTGCTTGGGTGTATTTATTGGTTGACAAAACTGACGTATTTTCTATGTTTATGTCCTTCTGTGCTATGGTAGAACTACAATTTACTCAGAAACTCAAGGTGGTTGGTAGTGATAATGGCACTGAATTCAATTGCCTCAAGGATTTTTTTCTTGCCTCCGGTATTATATTTCATACCTCGTGTGTTGCTACTCCTCAACAAAATGGGTGTGTCGAACGCAAACATCGGCATATCCTTAATGTCACTCAGGCTCTCAGGTTTCAGGCTCACCTTCCTATTCAATTTTTGGAAAAATGTGTCTTGACTGCAGCACATCTTATTAACCGCACTCCATCGAGTGTTCTTGGACATAAAACGGCTTTCGAAATTCCATTTGGAAAATTGCCTGATTATGACGTTGTTCCCGTTTTTTGATGTTTATGTTTTGCACACAATTTGCGGTCTGTCAAGGATAAATTTCTCAATCGTAGTCAAAAATGTATTTTTGTGGGGTACTCTTTTGGTAAAAAAAAAAGGATGGCGAGTTTATGACCTTGATACTAACGAATATTTTTTCTCTCGTAACAGTCAAATTCTTTGAAGATCAAATTCCATTCAGCCATCCTGCATCTACTATCCTACCAGAAGAATCTCCACCTCTTCCTTCTGTAGTCATCTGGGAATACCCGACTAAGCTCCGTCCTTCTCCCCACCCACCAAGGCAGAATATCCTCCAGTTGTTACAAGTGATACACCTTCAATTTCCACTTCTCCATCGGTTGACTTGGGTTGTGGAAAACGCATCAAACTTCCCTCAGTTAAATTGAAGGACTATGGCACTCACACGATGATTCACGAAAGTCCATTCCCCGCCTCCTCTGCCGCCTCCAACACCTCTTCAGGTACCCCGTTTTCTATAGCTCATTATGTTAATTGTGACAAATTTTCTCCTCGATATTGTCAATTTTTGGCAGCTCTTTTAGTCCAGCAGGACCCTGCCTCCTTTCATGAAGCGGTTAAAGATGCAGGGTGGCGTGACACTATGCATGCTAAAATTCACGCTCTTGAACAAAATCACACTTGGACTATGCAACCGCTCCCTCCCGGTAAACGGGCCTTGGGTTGTCGTTGGGTGTACAAGATCAAATATCATTCTGATGGCACGATTGAACGCCTTAAAGCCCGTCTTGTTATTTTTGGCAATCGCCAGGTCACCTGGCCCAAGTGGTTGGGATCGATTATAATGAAACTTTTGCTCTTGTTGCCAAAATGGTCACCGTTCGTGCTTTCCTTGCGGTTGCAGCATTCAAGAATTGGGAACTCCATCAGATGAACGTGCATAATGCCTTCTTACATGGCAATTTTAGATGAAGAGGTATACATGCAGGTACCTCAAACGTATGTTGCTTCTGATCCATCTCTCGTTTATCGTATGCATAAATCTCTCTATGGCTTGAAACAGGCCCCACACTATTGGTTTGCTAAACTGGTTAGTGCTCTACGTGGTTATGGGTTACTTCAATCTTATGCAGACTATTCACTCTTTACTCGCACTCGGGGTTACGTTCCACCCAGCTTAATGTTCTGGTTTACGTGGATGACTTAATCATCTCAGGAAATGATCATGATTCATGAGGCTATCCTTCATTTTAAGTCCTATCTAAGCACCTGTTTTCATATGAAAGATTTGGGAATTTTTCGCTATTTTCTTGGATTTGAGGTGGCCCGTAGCCTCTTGGGGCTCTTTCTTACTCAACGGAAGTATACTATGGATATTCTGTTTGAAACTGGTCTTTTAGGGGCCAACCAGCGGCTTTTCCAATTGAACAGAATCATTCTCTGGCCAATATTGATGGGCCTTACTTGCAGACCCAAAACCTTATCGATCGTCATCTACTCGAACGTCTCATTTATCTTGATGTCATCCCTCCTGACCTTGCCTATTCTATTCATATATTATCTCAATTTATGCAGGCACCATGTCAAGCTCACTAGGATGCTACTCTTCGGGTGGTCCGATACCTCAAAGGTTCCCCAGGACAAGGTATCCTTCTCCGGGCTGACAGTGATCTTTCACTAACTGGGTGGTGTGATTCTGACTGGGCCACTCTCCTGTCTGGGTGGTTTGTTTTTCTGGGCCACTCTCATGTCTCCTGGAAAATTAAAAAGCAATCTACCGTTTCTCACTCCTCTGTCAAAGCTGAGTATCGCGCCATGGCAGCTGCCACATGTGAACTAAAGCGGCTGAAAGCATTACTTCTTAGCATCGGTATTCAGCATCCTCAAGCCATTCCTCTCTTTGGCGATTCAAAGGTAAGATCTCTTTAGCTCTTCTTCACTTTCTTTAGTTGCTTAGATTTTTTCTTCCCGGACATGTGTGCACCTTCATAATAATGCCAAAATTCCAAGCAAACTGCGCTCTTATAATTAAACAAATTTTATATTTGGGAGCTAATAGCAACGAGCTATGGATTGTCACTTTTCTTGATTCAATATTTCACTCTCCACCAGTTTACAAGATTAAAGTTCAGGTTTGTCATTTTTCTTGATTCATAACCTATCATTAAAATACACCCTGATTTTGATTAAAATTCTCAGTTTTTTCTTTTTAATTGAAGTTTTTTGTGAAGATAATTTCAAGAGTATCCAAATTTAGTTGAATTGTCCGCTTCATCTTCCATCATATCCATCGTATTCTGAACCCCCGCACTAAGCTGGCTATCATTGTTGGAATTGAAAAGCTTGAGAATCATGGTATCCTTCAGCAACGGTGTAATAGAAAATCAGCTTCACCGTCTAAATCCATCAAGGCTCGCACCCCATGCTTCGATAGCTCCCATAACAAACAAGATATCTTAGGAAGAGCCCAAAATAAATGAGAATAATAAGGGGAAAGCAACACAACATGATGTGATTCACAAGACAACACAACTTTAACCAAGGTGAAAGCTACTTATAGTTCTAATTATATTTCAATCATGATTCATATCTCAACTTCCGAAGCCGAACTACTGCAAAATAAGTGTATGGATCTTTTTTTTGGTACACTTTTTCCTACAGTTTTCAATACTTTTGGACATTTGTTCTTAAATTTTACACTTACTTTTCAAGTCAATCTTCTTATATTAAGGAGAAAATATGTACATAAGTTTTTTGTTAAAGTATTTATCCCACATTATAAAGTTATAAAACAATAAAACACTACATAAGACTTTGGATTACTCCTCCTATTAGGTTGACCTTTTAGCATGGAACCCCGGATCTTAACATGGTATGAGGGTCAAGTCCATTTGTGGTTTGACGGCTGGTTTAACACTCATGATTAAGGACATGTTTACTTCACCGGTTATTAAACGGTGCTTATTAAGACCCGTGTTAATAAGCGGCGCATAAAATAAACAATGTTGTAAGACCGTGTTTACTTCAAACGGTTTTAAAACACCGCTTAACATTAAAATGTCCAAAATAACCCTATACATATATATACACACAAACATTCATGAACACAAGTATATAATATAATATGTGTACCCATACCCCTAACCCCTTACCCACCCTACCTTACCCCGACCCCACCCACCGCCTACCCCTACCCCCTACCCCTACCCTACCTACCTGACCCCACCCTACCTACCCGACCCCACCCTAACCTGTCCCCACCCTACCCTACCCCCGACCCCATAGGCCCCCATAGGCCCCCATAGGCCCGTAGGGGTAGGGGTAGGGTGGGGGTCGGTTAGGTAGGGTAGGGGTGGGGTAGGTAGGGTGGGGTCAGGGTGGGGTAGGGTAGGGTAGGTGGGGTAAGGGTAGGGGTGGGGTGGGGTCGGGGTAGGTGGGGGTCGGTTAGGTAGGGCAGGGGTGGGGTAGGTAGGGTGGGGTCGGGGTGGGGTAGGGTAGGTGGGGTAAGGGTAGGGGTGGGGTCTGGGTAGGTGGGGTAAGGGTAGGGTGGGGGTCGGTTAGGTAGGGTAGGGGTGGGGTCGGGGTGGGTAGGGTAGGTGGGGTAGGGTGGGGGAGAGGTAGGGTGGGGTCAGGGTAGGTGGGGTAAGGGTAGGGTGGGGGTCGGTTAGGTAGGGTAGGGGTGGGGTAGGGTGGGGTCGGGGTAGGTGGGGTAAGGGTAGGGTGGGGGGTCGGTTAGGTAGGGTAGGGGTGGGGTAGGTAGGGTGGGATCGGGGTGGGGTAGGTGGGGTAAAGGTAGGGTGGGGTCAGGGTAGGTGGGGGTAAGGGTAGGGTAAGGGTAGGGTAAGGGTAGGGTGGGGTCGGGGTAGGTGGGGTAAGGGTAGGGTGGGGGGTCGGTTAGGTAGGGTAGGGGTGGGGTGGGGTGGGGTAGGGTAGGTGGGGTAAGGGTAGGGGTGGGGTGGGGTCGGGGTAGGTGGGGTAGGGGTAGGGTGGGGGTCGGTTAGGTAGGGTGGGGTCGGGGTGGGGTAGGGTAGGTGGGGTAAGGGTAGGGTGGGGTCAGGGTAGGTGGGGTAAGGGTAGGGTGGGGTCAGGGTAGGTGGGGTAAGGGTAGGGTAAGGGTAGGGTGGGGTCGGGGTAGGTGGGGTTGGGGTCGAGGTGGGGCAGGGATAACAATAGGTTACGGGCAAGGGGTAAATTCGGAAACTGAAAAAGTTTAAAGTGCCGCTTAATTAATACATGGGGGGGTGGTATGCTTAATAAGCGGCACTTTAAGCACCTCTTTCGGTTAGTAAGCGGCTTTTTAAGCAGTGTGCGTGTTTACTTCACCTGTCTTACTAACCTAACTGTGACTTTAGCAGTGAAGTAAACACCTCCTAAGAGTAGCTTGTTAAGAGTCTATTTGGCTGATTTATACACTCTGAAATTGTCCAGCCCGATTCGGGCTGAGAGGGCGTGTTAAAGTATTTGTCCCACACCCGAAAGTTATAAAACAATAATATACTACTCCGTAGTACTATATAAGACTTTCGGTTACTCCTCCTATCAGATGGACCTTTTAGGATGGAACCTCGAGTCTTAACAATTTTCAATACTTATGCTCTATGGAGATGGGGTAGTCATCCCTAGATTGCCAATGAATTATAAATTTATTCTTAAAATTTACATGTACTTTTCAAGTTAATCTTCTTATATAAAACGAAAGGCCAAGGAAAACATGCATATTTTCCTAAAATTTTCAATACTTTTCGAAATTTGTTCTTAAATTTACACTTACTTTCCAAGTTAATCTTCTTAATCATATTTAATTTCTTCAGTTAATTGAGTATCTATTAATAAATAACACTAGAGATGCTATAATTGAGTTACCATTCCAACTGAAATGGAATATTTGAGTCTGTATACAACTTTAGATATGTGTAGTTAAGTTTATGTCATATATTTGTATAAATTAAACAAATAGCATAACTAACTTATTTAAGTGGATAAAAATAGGCGGTTGCATGAGTGAACTATATTTATGTTGCCTCACTTCAACCACAAAAGTGCTATGCACTTAAAAAAACATAATATAGGTTATTAATTTCTCTTGTCATATTCCTCTTTCTTGATGATAAGTATTTATTAGTACAAAAATTAGTGACTTGGTTTTACTAAAATTGATGTTTACTGACCAGTGTATATTAATTACTCTCTTTTTTATTTATATGAATATGAATTAATGATGAATGATGGTCTATCATCAATAATGATGGCATGGATTTTAATGGATAATAATAAAACTATTAAATTATAATATTTATTAATAATTGAGGTTATCCATAATAATTAAAATTCCTATTATCGAGTATCTAAAATACACTACGAGAAAATTCTCTTGCTCAATTTATTTGTTCACTTATGGCCTAATAAGTGATCTAATACTTAGAAAGACTACATTGTTTAATCTAATACCGTAATACCACTTAGTTCCTTTACGTGTACACATTATGTAAAATGTAAGGAAGCATTTAAATTGTTTAAAGAGTAATGCTTTTTAAAAAATGTGAGAATTCAAGCTACAATTCAAACACTACTCATTCATCAGTTTGAGGATCTTCTTGAAGAAGGATTGATTTATGCAATCATGGTTTAGAAGTCAAGTAAAATCAAGCCTACGGCCCATCCATTATATTTGAGTTTATCAAAGCTAGCAAATTAAATCATCAATCTTTAATATCTAAAAGCACTGCAAAAAGAGTTATGATTAGAAATTCTTCTGCCCACTCACCTGTCCACTACTTAGAGGCTAATATGTAATTTAACACCTAATCTAAAAAACTCCAGTCCTATTCAAACCTACCTTAATCTCCTTCACCATGTGAAACTTCTGCCATACCATTTCGTTTCTCATGCCTAATACACCACCTTTCACCACGAAAAGAAGATACATATAACGGGTGAAATGCAAATAGTTACCTTAACTATTGGTATTGTAATGTTTGGTGCCTTAACTCTTGAATGAATCAAATCAGTATTATAACTATACATAAACGTTTCAAATTTGCGACCAAAAAATCCTTCATGGCGATCAAAATTTCATGTGAAGAGTCACCCTATATTGACCACATGGACAAAAATAAGGTGAAGTAGACTTTACGCATAGAATTCCAGTCACCTCGTATGATTTTTTGGTTGGAAATTTGAATAATATTGCAAGTTGAATCATTTATGTATAGTTAAGGTACTGTTTTGATTCAATTAAGAGTTAAGATACTAAAATGCAACAATAATAATAGTTAAGGTACCATTTATGCATTTCACCCGACATATAACCTTCTCTTCCGGTACCAATCTGAGAGGATGGACTTAGATTTGACCTAGATCAAAACCTCATCATCTTCTTTTTTTATATGAGCTTTCCATTCAATTTGGTATTATTATATATTAAGGATTGTTTTTGACAAACTAACCCTCTTTTTCAATTTGAGATCTGATGGAGGGTCGATTTGTTGTTGAACAAAACTTAAGCCATATTCATCTCTTTCCTTTCTCATCCCTCTCAATTCTTTCTGAAAATTGACTCACATCACCACTCTTTCATTTCTCGCTCTCTCTTTCCTGACTGATTTTCCTCTCGTATCTCTTTCGATTTTGCACTTTCTCGGCGTATGAAGATCTCTTAGGAAGAGACAGTTAGCAATATTTACCCATTTTATATCTTTATCTATCTTATTTTTACAACATTTTATTGTTGTTTGTAGTCTCTATCGTTTTTATCCCTTTTTAACTCTGATTTCATATGTCCATTTATGTTAGCTTGCCCCAAAATCTTTTGGGACTAAGGCTTGAATGTTATTGTTGTTATGTTGTTGTTTTGTAATCTCTATCTGAAGTAGTCGAAAGTATGGTAACATGATTGTTTTCTTGTTGAACATTTTGGACTTCCCGATGAAGAGCAGAAATATGTTTTTTAGCTTGTTAAATGATAAGTTAGGTTTTAGGTTCTACTAATTGAGGGATATTATGTGTAGATATTGCTCTCCGAATTTGGGTTCTGTAAAGTCTGTTATTCATTGATACATTGTAATACAATTATAAACGTATATATAATAGCTAACAGATCTCTAGTCTATTCTTAAGGAGTAAAAGTAGGAAGAGTACAACAACATAGATGATAAGTCATACATTAACAAAATTATCAAATGATTAAAAGACAAGTCTAACACACACCCACAAGATGGTGGATCCATCGTATACGTCATTGTTGGACCGAAAACAAAGAAACAATGCACAATTGAGTGGCTTGGTAAGTGAATCAGCAAGTTGGGCCTTGGAAGAGATATGACTAACATGTAAGGCACCATCAAAACAAGATCACGTACAAAGAACTAATCTAAAGAGAGATATTTCATGTGGGAGAGAAAAACTGGATTTTTTCATACATAAGTGGCACTTAAATTTTCACCAAACAGCGAGGGGACACGAGAAGCTGAAACAATAATTTCACAAAACAAATGTTGGATCAAAAGTACCTCAGCAATAGCATAAGCGATAGCGTGATACTCGCCTTGATGGAAGAGAGGGGAACCATAGAACCAAGATAGATAGAATATGTAGAACGTCCAGAGATAGTCGAATTACCCCAATCAACATCAGCATCCAAAAAGGATGTACGTGATAAGGGGGTAAACCTTTGTGTTAGAGATACTTTATCTGTTGTGATCGATGTAATTTTATCTAGCCTTGTATGTAGTATTTTGATGTATTTAATAGGGTTTTATTAGGGAGGAAACAAGAGCTAAATTAGGTATGGGCTTCCTAAATAGGAAAGCCCATATGTTTGTAAACCTACCATTTCTAGGAGCCTATAAATATGGCCCTAGAGAATGGCTAGGTAAGCTTTCCAAAATATTCCCTACCCTGCGCAGAGCAAAATACCCAGATGGAGGTTTTACGCTAAATGTTCTTCATCCTTATGTGAACTTTTGTTTATCAAAGGAAAGCTTCTTCTACTCCTATTAATCAGATTTCATACATTATAGAGTAGAAATAGGGACCAACACTTTGCGTAGAAGTAAGCCATGACATACAGTACCCTTCAAATAACGCAGTAAGCGTTCAACAGCTAACCACTGAGAAGCTTGAGGAACGTGCATAAACGGTGAGAGATGATTCACATAATAGGAAATATCAAGACGAGTGTGATTGAGATACTATAGAAGACCTAGAAGACTTTGATATTCTAAAATAGCAACATCATTAGCAGGATCCACATGTGATAGTTTTTCACTGGAAGACATAGGGGTAGAAACAGGTTGTGTGTCCTCCATATGAAATGTGGATAAAATGTCCAAAATGTACTGCCCTTGAGACAAAAAGGTACCCAATGAAGTAAACATAACTCCAATGCCCAGAAAGTTAATCAAGGAACCCAAATCCTTCAAATATTATGTTTGGAACAAACCTTCTCCATCGAATAGATCCCAACGAGTTTGAAGCCTAATCTATATAGACTATTAGAGAATAATGTGCAACACCATAAAGAGTGGAAAGTCTATTGGGAAAGCCACAAGGGGTCAGAATCGATTACTTAGATTTCCTAAGAATCCTATAAATTCACTTTCTGGATTGATATTTCTTTGTTGTGCCTAGGTTACGAGAAATTCCATCTAGGATAATCCTTAAGGATACTAAAAGATTAAGACACAAATTCAAGAGCACAAATTAATGAGTATTTGAAATGTTTTCTTTCAATTTGAAGGCAAAAAATGATCAAGGTAAGTCATATCCCTCCTCTGTCTTAAATATGGAAATATGTATCCATGTGAATTGTTGCAAATAGTTAAAACAGTTTCGGGAAAAAATGTAATCGAGGAGGGAGATGATTTGACAGATCCGTGATTCGTGAAGAAGAGGAGCCAATAACCACTAAAGAAGAGGAAGTAGGTGCTGATTTTTAATATAAAATGACGACGTATTGGAAGTTGGAATAGACATCCGATGCATATGTATGTCGATCTCACAATATTATTTGCGCTAACCAAGAATTTTTGTGTGAGAATATAAGAATATTTTAGTCTTATTCTTAAATTTTTATGAAGTTTCTTAAACATCATTTATAAGTTTTTTCCTTTCTAGAGGGTCCATCAGGGACGGTGCCACCCAGGCTATACCGCCATTTGCCCATCCCAACTTGTTGCTGCCAGACTGCCACCTCCTGCCGACCACTGTTGCTGCTTGTTGCACGGTAAAACCCGCCAACAACCCAACCCAGTATTATAATTGTTATTACATATTACTTACTCCGTATTACGTTACTATCTATTACATTTTATTTTATTTTCAATGACACTGTAAGTAATGAGTAGTGTTTGACATTTGACAATTTCTATTTTCTGAAGTTATTATTTGGTCATTTGGATGTGAAAATACAAATATCACACGTGTATATATGTCTAATTGTCAATTGATATTTTGATAATTTATTTTCCTAAATTTTATAAATTTTTATGTTTTTAAGTGTTAAATTACTTAATAGGTTATTAGCTATTACTAATTACTTATTAGACTTTTAAAAAGAAAGTCTCATTACATTTATAGGTAGATTCCTATTCCTAATCCTAAATGGAATGGAATAACGGAGTGACTTTCCCTCTCTTTTTATTCCATTAATTATTTGGCTCAGTATTGCCGGCAATTGCAACGTTTTAAAACATATATGTGGTCTATCCATTAACTTTTTCACTTCAGAAATTAGCTTCGATTTTACCAGTGAAGATCGTAAGCGTGGAAAGAGCTTTTTTAGCCATGATGCCCATGAAGATCGTGAAGAACAAATTGCGCATTCAAATGAGGGATGCTTTGATGAATGATGGATGAATGATGTCTTAATGACTTCTATTGAAAAAGATATATTCAAAAATGTTGACAATGAAATTTGTAAAGAATATTGAATTAACACTTTAATTTTATAAAAGACGATCTTTCCTGTTTCGCTTTATATATGTACACATGATTATATACAGAGTAATATTCTTTTATTTTATTAACACCACTGATACTATATCTTGGCTATCTTCAAAAACCAAAAAATCATGGCTCCATCCCAGGTGTCCATTATCATCTTTCATCATTAAATGTTTTGTCATATAGTCTACATCTAGGCAGTCTTTTTTGTAGGGACAACAAACTAATATTGCCTTTATATTTTTTGACAAATGCTTCCATTTTTTGCGTAAAAGCAGGAATGCTATGGGAACAAAACTTAACTAAAATGATTCGCCTAGTAGACTCCATAATTTGGTTTATGATACTACCTCCGTCCCATTTTAGTTAGCCATATTTGACTTTACCAGTCAAGAATGATAAACTTTGACCAATTATTTTAACTAATATATTTATGCAAAATGTTATAACTTTAGACTTTTATGATAGTAGTTTTAACAAAGAACATTTTCATATCATTTTCAAATTATGAATACTTCTATATATAAATATATAATTGGTCAAAGTTAGACACAATTGACTTGAAAAGTCAAGTTTGGCTAACCAAAATGGGACGAAGGGAGTATTAAAAGATTAAAGTTTTTGTTGTACTATGAAATAAACATAATCTTACCTATAATGTTTATGTTAATTTTTCAAAACCCTTCCAACGCTATATTGTCTTTATATTTGTTGACAACTGCTGCCATTTTTTACATAAAAGCGGTAATGTTATGGGAACACAACTTAACTAATACTTCGTACGTACGTTGTATGAGTGTTCGGATAGACTCCGTAAATTTTGGTTTATGATTGATGAAAGGTTAAAGTTTTTGTTGTACTATGAAATAAACATAGTCATACCTATAATATTTATGTTAATTTTTTGAAACCCTTCCAACGCAATATTGTCTTTATATTTTTTTACAAAACCCTGCCATTTTGGCATAAAAGCAGGACTGTAATGGGAACGCAATTGAATTAATAATACTCCCCCCTTCCGCTAAGATTGTCTCATCTTTCCTTTTAGGTCCGTCGTCCCACTATGATTGTCTCATACATAAACTCATCCTTACTTCATTCTTACTTTATCAGTTCAATATCAATTATATAAACTCACTTTTTTTTATAACCACATTATATCCTCATGTCCCAATGTTAGTGAGACGCAGGTAGTATAATATTCTGTAAATTTTGCTTTATAATCATATTGAAAGGTCAAAGTTTTTGTTGTACTATGAAATCAATAAGCATAGTCATACCTATAATATTGATGTTAATTTTTCAAAACCCTACAAATGTGAAAGTAGCTTTTACTGGTTCTCAGAATATTTCAAACTTTTATAAAAATAAAAAACAGTAAATAGAAAATGTTACCAAATAATGTTAACATTTTTGTTTTGAAACTAAAGATAGAACATAAAGTTTGGAAAAGAGGCACATGCATGTTTAGTTCAAAAGTTTTCAATAGTATATATCATCTACATAACATTTTTTTCGTGTTCCTCCATATGATTTGGTATTTTCTAAATCCGATATAATAACATATTATCTTTTTTTTGTAATGACGAGCACTTCGTCGTAGTGCGTCAAAATAATTCGATACTAACACTTATACGTAGTATAGTGAAGTAGAGTTCGTATCCACAGGGAAAGGAGTAATTCTCTTTTTAATGAAACTAGTAAATAAAAGGGGGTTTTGGGATTGTTGGAATTTAATTAATTTAAACAACAAGTTGAACGACTTATATGAGTTTTGATTCAAAGATTAAAGAGACTTGACCTTGCTACTTTCCACTTGTTGATATATTTAGTCGATCATTGTTATATCTATAACTTATCCCCTCTCGAATACTCAATCGAGGAGTTTCTCCATTTCATCGAGGGTAGTTATTAACAACGACCGTTCATTAACAGCCCTTACTATTAATCAAATATAGAACAACGTCGTATACCGATTTAACAGTAGAATTTAATCTTTTTAACCCCTTGATGAAATCAATTGAGATTGATAACCTCAACATAATGGTTTCGGTTTAACTAACAAAATTGATCTCTCTTAAGTTTATTAACCACGACCGTGCATTAATAAACCGAATTTACTTACTTGTGAAACCATCAACGTTTAACCATCGGTTCGTTGATCATTTCTAGTAATAATTAATGTCGAAGCGTTAACTAATCGTCACTTAGCAACACCCCAACATTAATATAGAATGAGATTAAGGGAAGAATTAATAATTAAGAGAAGAAGTTAAGAAAATATCTCACAATTTTAATAATCAACAAACTTCAAGAGCAAAACCGAGAAATGGAAGTTTAGCTCCTCATTTGGAGACTAAACATGCTAGAAAATATAAAGAAATGATATTCTAAACTGAGCTTAAGAGTATGGAAGAAGGAATGAATTTAATGTGAAGAAAAAGGGGTGTATTTTATAGGAAAATGGAGGTGGCAGGGTCCTTTACCCGACTGGGTATTCAGGGTACCTGATTGGGTATCTAGTAGCTTCCGGGAAGGGGAAAATATCAACTCATACCCGATCGGGTGTGTCGGTCTACCTGATCGGGTATGAGGCCAAATCTTCAAATATTTTCATCCCACGATCCTTTGTTTCCCGGATTTGATTTTGACATGTAAATCGGGTCAATACCCAAACGGGTATTGCATATACCCGACCGGGTATATGAACTATTTTCCAAATCTCCATTTGATCTTGTTCCTTTGCACATATTTTGGTCTTTGGGATCCGTTCTTTGATCCTTCGAGTGCATTTAACATGTCCTATGCTCAGAATAATCCTAATATAAACAATTTACACAAATTTTAATAAACTAAAACATTACACCAAAAGTGTGTAATTTCCAAACTAACGAATCACAAAACAAATTAAAAACGTACAGATACAATCGGAAATTACACGAATATCATGTAACCCGAGATTTACCCTGGTGGCACCCCCTATCTACCAATTGAGAGACGTCCACTAACACCAAGGCTGTAATAAGGATCTATGGGAAAGAGAATGGTCAGGAGTAGAATCGCTGAGAGTGAGGCTAGGTAAGGAAAATCGGTTTCAAGGAATTATAAATCCTTACTAACATAGAAAATCATATGTACGGGTCAAGACAACGATAGCCTTTGTAACATGAAGTATAGCCCCGAAAAACACCGCGAATAAAGCGTGATGAGAGTTTGTTGGAGGAAGTCACAACGATATTTGGGAAGCACGCACACCCAAAAAATCACAAAAAGTTATAGTCATGAGATTTTTGAAATTTTTTCTAATGCAGAGTAAGGCCTTACCAAATTGGCGTTGGTAAGCGATTAACATTAAATATTGTAGTCTATAAGGCATCAACCCAAAACATTGCAACACTATTTGCAACACTATGTGCTCTAGCTGTTATATTTACTTGTGTTTTCATGAGTATTTATAAACATTTGTTGGAGAAAAGAAGATAAATCGGGCAAATACCTTCAAAGTGAGAGCTAGAGCACAAAACGTTGTAATGAATGGTTTTGTTTTGTTTTTTGGATGAAAGCAATGAATGGTTTTGTTGAACAAGAGAATGGCATTCTTCCCATAGTTTGAGTATAACTTATTATGGAAAAGTCCAAACGACTTCATTCGAATGTTGTGAAGCGTCATGGTCAGAACATGAAGGGTCAAGATTCAACCAATCGATAAAGTCAGGTGTTGCTGGTGGGATTTTAGGATGTATAACTCTCACTGTTTTATTGATGGTTAGAATATGAAAGGGTCAAGATTCAACCAATAGAAGACTTCATTATCTACAACTTTGATGAAACAATCATTCCAAATTGGTAACGCAAGAAAACATATTTTCCGGCGCTGGTTAAGACTCAACTGGGGCGGTCAGACTGGAATTCTGAAAGGGTCGGTCATCAGAAGCAACTAACGTCGGTCATGCTGAAATCTGCATAAAACCATAAAACATGCAAAATGTCTTGAGTTAAATGAAGATATTTGATAGGCATGGCTCGTAAATATCACACCAAGTTGATTGAGAATCATGAATAGACCACCAAAGATCATTTCTATCCTATATAAACCCTCCAATCCATCCCAAAATTCATCATCCAACCCCATTCACTCCATTAGTTCATAACTAGTCTTTATGGTTTATGTTTGTTCTTCATGGTATTCTTGAGGTGCGGAAGCCCATTTCTTTCAATCATTGATACAACGACAACAACAATATCCAAGCCTTAATCCCAAAAGATTTTGGGGTCGGCTAACTGATGTGAGTTTTCTCGCACTTAAAAAGATTGTAATATAGTGGTGTAAGTACGAGTATCGTCTCCACAGGGACGGACAAAAGGGAATCAAGAATTAATTACATTCAGCGATTAAAAATAAATAAAATAAATGCGTCGTGCGAGATATGATTGGTATGAAAAATTAAAATGCAACTAAACGATTAAACTAGGGGGTTCTTTCTAGTTAATGACGAAGGGAACAGGGATTGATTCTGGGGTAACTAGATTTCTGGGTGATCAGGCGTAATTACATAAAATTGATTTAATTGAGCCTAGCTGATCATTACTAAGTTCTTACCGCTCTCGCGGCGTAGAGTGCAATAATTTAGGGGACCAGGCTGATCTCTCATGCGACAGGATCCTAAATTATTGCCAAGACGAGCGAACTTACGGCCCCTTAATCGCTACTAATCTCTTAGCGAACGATTAAGTGTGTGTGAATGTGTCCTAGAATAAATTAGATCTCTCTTAATTTATTCTACAAGCAATTGTAATTCTAGCGGCCGTTCCAGGTTACAAGAGATATCAGTTAAATTATTCAAACACAAATTAAACAACATTCATGCAATTAAACCGAAAGGAATCTAGCCATACATCATGATCAACCCCTTCATCAATCTCAAATCCCTAATTAAAACTGCTCACAATTCATAATTGAAGAATCAATAGAATTGGAATAAAAAGAATTATTTGTCATTAATTAAAAAGGTG